GTACATTGATTTGATACATTGGCCACTTGTCTGCGGTGCTTTATAGACGTCACGGAGGAGAGCCGACGCCAGGGCAAGGCTCTCATGTCCTCTTCGTTAACGCACGGTAGCTGCTAAAGTTTTTTCCCCTCACTGGAGGCCTATACCTTTCCAGAACGGGTAATCGCTAGACCGCACATTTGCTCAGCAGGAACCATTGTATCGAGTGACCCGATTTCCCGCCTTCCTCTGCAGGGGCGCCTGACGTCATGCTACGTCACGCACGGGGCGCGACGCCATTGGTCAGCCTGGCCAAGCCCTCACCGCCGACCAATCACGCCAGACCTGGTGCGGTACCCAACATGCACTGGGGGATCTCTCTCTCTGCTCGCACCGCCATCTTAACATGGAGGTGACTCCTCATAGCCTAATCCCAAATAAACTAAAATCCATATTTCTTCTAAATGCCGCATCTTGCATCCTTTCAGGTATCACAAAATCAACTAAAACTTCTAGATATGTACATATAGGAAATTATGACATTTATATACGAGAATAGAGGAGTACAAACTGAACTCCGTAACAATACACACACATTCATGCATACTTGAATGGCCTACATCAATACTTTTGTTTGTATCCTGAGTTAGAGAGATAGATCGACTATTAATTGTTGCCATTAGCACATAACACACGTCCATGGTGTTATTAGTAGTCTGTTCTGTGTTTTGAATAATCAAGTAAGCTTCTACATCAGAGAGTAATACATATAGACGATTGGGGCGGCTTGAGAGGCATCGTAGAGGCCAGTCACAACTGACCAGAATATATTGACACTCGACAATACCAGCAGGAAGGACACTTTATTGCGAATAGATGTATGCGTATGAGAAATGTTTTACACAACACTTGTTTATGTATCCCCCCTGTATCGCGGGGTATCTTGCGTGCGTAAAGTGTAGCCTGCATGAATGGTGGACCCAGAGGTGACCTCTGGGTGAGTATAGTGAGACTAATACATGATTCACCTGTGCGTTCACATACTCACTTTAACACTCACACGTGTGACAGTGCCCCACGTGTGCCAGTGCCCCACGTGTGCCAGTGCCCCACGTGTGCCAGTGCCCCACGTGTGCCAGTGCCCCACGTGTGCCAGTGCCCCACGTGTGACAGTGCCCCACGTGTGACAGTGCCCACGTGTGACAGTGCCCCACGTGTGACAGTGCCCCACGTGTGACAGTTCCCCACGTGTGACAGTGCCCCACGTGTGCCAGTGCCCCACGTGTGCCAGTGCCCCACGTGTGCCAGTGCCCCACGTGTGACAGTGCCCCACGTGTGCCAGTGCCCCACGTGTGACAGTGCCCCACGTGTGCCAGTGCCCCACGTGTGCCAGTGCCCCACGTGTGACAGTGCCCCACGTGTGACAGTGCCCCACGTGTGAAAATGCCCCACGTGTGCCAGTGCCCGTCTGGCAGTGGTGCCGAGAGCTCACGCTCTACAAGCTGTGTCACTATTTCAGGTATTCCCCTCCCCGCAGGTGTGTGCCTCTCCACGCAGGTGTGTGCCTCTCCCCGCAGGTGTGTGCCTCTCCACGCAGGTGTGCGCCTCTCCCTGTAGGTGTGTGCCTCTCCACGCAGGTGTGCGCCTCTCCCCGCAGGTGTGTCCCCCTCCCCACAGATGTACCGACCCAGCAGGCGATAAAAAAAAATTATTGACGCTTTCAGATGCACAGAAGACCCACTCATCTGAATGTGGTCGGAGGTACGTCCACGCCAGGGGCCCAGGCGTCCACTGCCAGGGGGCCCAGGCGTCCACTGCCAGGGGGCCCAGGCGTCCACTGCCAGGGGGCCCAGGCGTCTACGCCAGGGGGCCCAGGCGTCCACTGCCAGGGGGCCCAGGCGTCTACGCCAGGGGGCCCAAGCGTCTACGCCAGGGGGCCCAGGCGTCCACTGCCAGGGGCCCAGGCGTCCACTGCCAGGGGCCCAGGCGTCCACGCCAGGGGCCCAGGCGTCCACTGCCAGGGGGCCCAGGCGTCCACGCCAGGGCCCCATTAGCATGAGGGGGGCCCTGGCGGAGACCCCCAGGTACACGCAGGAGTACCGGGGCACGGCTGTACCCTGCCCTCAGCTGAGCCCATCTACATAGTCAAATAAAGGTCACACAACAAATAATGTTTATGGTTTAAGCCCGAATTATTTTCACCGCTCTACATATGTGTGTTTCATGTTACATACGCATATTATGTATCTAGTTCCTTGCGTAATTATGGTTTACGCTGCCCTGGGGGGTTGCTAGTGCGTGTCTAAGGTTTACTATCGTTTGACAATACTAGTAAACTACTTCCATTCGTTTCTTCCCCGACCGTCCAAGTGATTGGGCACTATCCACCCCCTTCCCCCCCCCCCCGTCTGTCCCATACCAAAATCCTTATCCTAACCGCTTCCAAGTGCTATATAGTCTAATGGCTTGGCGCTTTCTCCTAATAGTTCCCTTCCGGAACCACACGAGGAATGAAGATAAAAGTTAGTATTCAGTTATTTTACAAATAATTCAAAGAAACAGACAGATAAACAGAGATGGGCATGTTTACTAATTGTCGTTACAAGAGAACGCAATACACACACACACACACACACACACACACACACACACACACACACACACACACACACACACACACACACACACACACACACACACACACGTTAATAGTGTAACCTGAAGAGCGGGCGCCTGATAGCTGAGAAGACAGCGCTTCGGATTCGTAGTCCTGAGATTCCGGGCTCGATCCCCGGTGGAGGCGGAGACAAATGGGCAAATTATTTTTTTCACCCCTGATGCCTCTGTTACCTAGTAGGTACCTGGGAGTTAGACAGCTGGTACGGGCTGCTTCCCGGGGGGGGGGGGGTAACAAAAAAGACGCCTGGTCGAGGACCGGACCGCGGGGACGCTAAGCCCCGAAATTATCTCAAGATAACCTCATGATAAGAAGGGCCAGGATGGATAACAAGCGGGAATTGAGGGAAATAATACAAGTCGCATGGAATGAGTCCTCATGCCACCGAAGTAATGAAGGTAGTATTAAGGGTGGCACAAAGTAGATTAATATATTGAAATATATTGATAGATAATTCAAATGGGAGATAGATACAATATCATGAAGGAAGAATGAAATTTGCATGTCTTTTCTTTCAAGAAAAAAAAATCGTGTCAAAGCCTAACACGTACGTTTATACGTCACCCGCAGTGTCAATGACATGCTCCTCTTCCAGTCATTAAAAAACACATTTTTAACACAGGTGGATAAAGGAACCGACAACCGGCTGAAAGCTATTCCCATCCCGCAGCTCATGCAACAGGACGGGAAATACCAAAACGAGGATAAGGTTTTTACCCTCTTTAAAAGAAAGAGAAATGTAAATAACACCTCCAATTAGATGGGAAGCCTCAGTATATCTGCTGGCCAGGCCTGCAGTTTTGTTATGGGAGTACGATGGGGAAATATTAATAGTAACATTAAGAGATGACTGTAGCCGTTCTGAGATAATGACCGAGTGATTGTTGAGTGTGAAATTGGTCGTATTGGTTTCTCTAGATACGGGAGCAGTCAAATGTTTTCAATAGAGGAGAAAACAATTCGCTATTGATGTTGGTCTAGTCTCGTAGCCTTTTAAAATGATGTTGGTCTATGGTCTCGTAGCCTTTTAAAATGATGTTGGTCTAGTCTCGTAGCCTTTTGAGTGGGGAAATTTTTTTAAGGTTAGAATTCGAGAGAACACTCGTGAATTTATACTAGTAATTCTTGAAGTTAACTTAAATAGCCCCAATCCCTTCTGTCTATTGAATACCTGTTAATTGTCTTAATTATGTTTAGAGAATATAATTGGACGATGATTCACAATTGTGTTATTAAACTCTCGCCAATGATTTGAAATAATCCTCTCTGCATATATTTATATCTCCAGTTTATTCATTTGCCCGCTACTAAATGCCTACCTGGTGAATTATTCAAAGCCTTTCCTTGGTTTTATATATTCATTAATTAATGAAAGCAACCAGCCCTCTCATTGATTTAATTTACCAAGATAAAATAGATTGTATTTGTCTAACGAGAACCACGAAAGCAACGAGTGATTTAGTCCAACATGCCCAATACCCAGTTATAATTAGCGAAGAGATATGTTAAGCAGGAAATTTACATTACATTTTGTGCTGCGAAGAAAATGAAGAGATTTAATATTCAGTGAGAACAAGTTAACGCGAGTCTGAAGAACATAATATGCGAGTGACGCGGGAACAGTCCACTGATGATAGTTTCATTCTTTGTGTTACCGTATATGTGTGTGTGTGTGTGTGTATGTGTGTATGTATATGTCGTACCTAATATATATATATTTGCCTAATATATATATATATATATATATATATATATATATATATATATATATATATATATATATATATATATATATATATAATGTCGTACCTAGTAGCCAGAATGCACTTCTCTGCCTACTATGCAAGGCCCAATTTGCCTAATAAGCCAGGTTTTCATGAATTAATTGTATTTCGACTACCTAACCTACCTAACCTAACTTTTTCGGCTACCTAACCTAACCTAATGCATAAAGATAGGTTAGGCAGGGTTGGTTAGGTTCGGTCATATATCTACGTTAATTTTAACTCCAATAAAAAAAATTGACCTCATACATAATGAAATGGGTAGCTTTATCATTTCATAAGAAAAAATTAGAGAAACTATATTAATTCAGGAAAACTTGGCTTATTAGGCAAATCGGGCCTTGCATAGTAGGCCGAGAAGTGCGTTCTAGCTACTAGGTACGACATTATATATATATATATATATATATATATATATACACACACACACACACACACACACACACACACACACACACACACATACATACTCAGGGTTGAGAAGTGAAAAAGCGAGGCGACAGACTGGCCAAATCTAAGGTCTATTAAGAGCCTGATTGCGTAATTTGTGTCCAGTTATTTTAGTTTTGTTTGTGAGCCACAAAACACAATGTGGCTCTTCCTTTCTTGACCAAGGGCGCTGATCGGTTCCCCGGACTTCTTGACCAAGGGCGCTGATCGGTTCCCCGGACTTCTTGACCAAGGGCGCTGATCGGTTCCCCGGACTTCTTGACCAAGGGCGCTGATCGGTTCCCCGGACTTCTTGACCAAGGGCGCTGATCGGTTCCCCGGACTTCTTGACCAAGGGCGCTGATCGGTTCCCCGGACTTCTTGACCAAGGGCGCTGATCGGTTCCCCGGACTTCTTGACCAAGGGCGCTGATCGGTTCCCCGGACTTGTTGACCAAGGGCGCTGATCGGTTCCCCGGACTTCTTGACCAAGGGCGCTGATCGGTTCCCCGGACTTCTTGACCAAGGGCGCTGATCGGTTCCCCGGACTTCTTGACCAAGGGCGCTGATCGGTTCCCCGGACTTCTTGACCAAGGGCGCTGATCGGTTCCCCGGACTTCTTGACCAAGGGCGCTGATCGGTTCCCCGGACTTCTTGACCAAGGGCGCTGATCGGTTCCCCGGACTTCTTGACCAAGGGCGCTGATCGGTTCCCCGGACTTCTTGACCAAGGGCGCTGATCGGTTCCCCGGACTTCTTGACCAAGGGCGCTGATCGGTTCCCCGGACTTCTTGACCAAGGGCGCTGATCGGTTCCCCGGACTTCTTGACCAAGGGCGCTGATTGGTTCCCCGGACTTCTTGACCAAGGGCGCTGATCGGTTCCCCGGACTTCTTGACCAAAGGCGCTGATCGGTTCCCCGGACTTCTTGACCAAGGGCGCTGATCGGTTCCCCGGACTTCTTGACCAAGGGCGCTGATCGGTTCCCCGGACTTCTTGACCAAGGGCGCTGATCGGTTCCCCGGACTTCTTGACCAAGGGCGCTGATCGGTTCCCCGGACTTCTTGACCAAGGGCGCTGATTGGTTCCCCGGACTTCTTGACCAAGGGCGCTGATCGGTTCCCCGGACTTCTTGACCAAGGGCGCTGATCGGTTCCCCGGACTTCTTGACCAAGGGCGCTGATTGGTTCCCCGGACTTCTTGACCAAGGGCGCTGATCGGTTCCCCGGACTTCTTGACCAAGGGCGCTGATCGGTTCCCCGGACTTGTTGACCAAGGGCGCTGATCGGTTCCCCGGACTTCTTGACCAAGGGCGCTGATCGGTTCCCCGGACTTCTTGACCAAGGGCGCTGATCGGTTCCCCGGACTTCTTGACCAAGGGCGCTGATCGGTTCCCCGGACTTCTTGACCAAGGGCGCTGATCGGTTCCCCGGACTTCTTGACCAAGGGCGCTGATCGGTTCCCCGGACTTCTTGACCAAGGGCGCTGATCGGTTCCCCGGACTTCTTGACCAAGGGCGCTGATCGGTTCCCCGGACTAATTGACCAAGGGCGCTGATCGGTTCCCCGGACTTCTTGACCAAGGGCGCTGATCGGTTCCCCGGACTTCTTGACCAAGGGCGCTGATCGGTTCCCCGGACTTCTTGACCAAGGGCGCTGATCGGTTCCCCGGACTTCTTGACCAAGGGCGCTGATCGGTTCCCCGGACTTCTTGACCAAGGGCGCTGATCGGTTCCCCGGACTTCTTGACCAAGGGCGCTGATCGGTTCCCCGGACTTCTGGACCAAGGGCGCTGATCGGTTCCCCGGACTTCTGGACCAAGGGCGCTGATCGGTTCCCCGGACTTCTTGACCAAGGGCGCTGATCGGTTCCCCGGACTTCTTGACAGCGAGGCACACCCAGAAATAACAAACCTCTCGTACCCAATTACCATGAAGGGAAAACAATTACCGTCTCGTCAAACTTCGCATGACGGAGATAATGTTCACTGACGGGTGGATGGACGAGCAGACAGATAAGACGAATGCAGAAGTGGGGTCTGTTGATAAACGGGTGGGTAGGTTGACGGGCCGGAGGAGTCGGGAATGGACGGGCAAGCACGCGGGCGTATAGGCTGATGATTGGTAAAGCTGGTGGGAGGTCGGATGACCGGCCGGTTGAACGAGAGGGCGGCCGGATGAACGAGAGGGCGGCCGGACGAACGAGAGGGCGGCCGGACGAACGAGAGGGCGGCCGGACGAACGAGAGGGCGGCCGGACGAACGAGAGGGCGGCCGGACGAACGAGAGGGCGGCCGGACGAACGAGAGGGCGGCCGGATGAACGAGAGGGCGGCCGGATGAACGAGAGGGCGGCCGGACGAACGAGAGGGCGGCCGGACGAACGAGAGGGCGGCCGGACGAACGAGAGGGCGGCCGGACGAACGAGAGGGCGGCCGGATGAACGAGAGGGCGGCCGGATGAACGAGAGGGCGGCCGGATGAACGAGAGGGCGGTATGGATGAGAAAGGAACACAATATAAATTGAAGCAGTCGTTCTTTAGATTAAATATGTACCCTTATATAACAACACGAATACATGCTTGTTTAGCACGGCAAACAAGCCCATATAAATTAGTAAAGCTAGAATACTATAAACACATAAATCGACAAAATATTTTATTATATATATTAAAAGATTACAAGAAAGGAACTCTGAACACACTACCTGTTCAAGCCATCGTCTGACTAAGTTGCAAGGGAAGGTCCATCTCCAAGCAAGCCACTAGCCCTCATTTATATAAATCCCTCAATTAGCGCTATAGTAATAAACCCAAATTTCGTTATGCGTAAATCCATAAAATTTACGTTATGCGTTAAATTTTCGTCATGCGTTAAATTTACGTTATGCGTGAATCCCAAGTATCTTCATATTTCAGATCTATTTATAAAGCAGACGTGCAGCATACATATTGGTGGTCTTAATATGGTCACGCTTGGCATGTTAGCTTTCCCTTCCCTCCGAGCCGCCGCAGTCCATCTATTCATCAAACTCCAACTCTCAAACAATCAATTCATCACCTTCACTCGACGAACGTATCTCTTCGTCAGAGCACATCCCCCGCAGACGCCTGCACAGGGTGGAGGGGCTTGTGTATGCAAGAGGCACAGACCCAGACAAAGTGAGCAGCAGGATATGCAACAGGTGTGCATAAGACCAGAGAGATAACTTGCCTCCTGACAGTTTGCAAGGGCAGTCATATGCTGTTGCACGATATCGGAAACAGTACGACACATCTAGTTGTCGTTTATTTCTAAAACAAACGGTATATGGTAATTCGTGCGCTAAGATTAACCTCAGACGAGTGATAGAAACTGGAGAGGACATCACTTGTGATTTATCACTTGTGACAAGATATCAACACTTTGTGGGGTTCCTCGATTGTTTCAAACGTGGGTTGGACATGTTTATGAGTCGGATTGGATGGTTATAAATAAAAACTGCCTCGTATGGGCCAATAGGCCTTCTGCAGTTACCTTTGTTCTTATGTTCTTATGATTTCTCTTCTGTTAGTATTGTGAGCGGTTGTAAGTCCCCGTCACAACAAACCCGGAAGGCTAAGTATTCAAAAGTACATGCAAGTACTATTTTACAATGGAACACACCCATGCCTATGTATAAGCCTGTATGCATATGTAAGTATCATTCCCACCTGGTTATCGTCAAGGGAACCCAAGTCCTGACGCTCTCCCACCAAAGGGGCCCACAGGGATTGCCGTTTGAGCAGGACGAGGCTGAAGGCCATCAGAATAATCGCATTTGAAGTCTGAACACCGCGAGTCTAGCATCCTCCAGTGGTGTTTAAGGAGCTATTGGTGACTGTCTTAGCTTGGCGAAGGAGGCAGTGCTGGAGAAATGATTGCTGTGACGATACCTGGGGCCCTGGAGCCGGCATGCAAGGTTAATGGATCAAGGGCTAGGTACCCGGGAATTTGAAGGTCACAGAGTAAGATCCAAACCTGCCGCATATCTCATTGTACTACCTTCACACTCTAGCCTGAATATTAACAGGACAGGCTGTTCTTTAACAGTTCTTTAAATCCGTTTCACAGAGTGATAGCAGTGATCAAACTGGTGCAGCACTGTAACTGTAACTCCGAAGGTTATAAGACCAACCCCACCTCATCAAACACCAAGTGCTCGTTAATCGAGTCACCATACTCCCTCTCCACGAATAACAAAAAACTGTTTACACAAGATTCACAACAGATGACTCTGGAACACTTCTCGAACAGTGCTTCTCTGACGACCTCTGTTTTTTTATTTAATTTTTTTATCTGTTTCACCAAATAAAAAATAAAAAAATTAAATCGTACACAACAGCCCAAGAACCCCTCTAATGATAGCTCTCTCGTGTTTATGACTAGACAAGAATGTTCTTGATATTTCAAGTAGTTGGGACGTATGCGTGCCACTGTATGTGGGAGTTTGCGTACATGGGCACACAAGATTGCGAGTTTGTGAGTGAGTGAGTGAGTGAATGTGAGAGTGTTTAATTCATGATAAAACACCCAGGAGTGATAAATAAAAGTGAAGACCTTAGATGAATTACAAAATAACTTGCCCAGGTCTCTTATCTAGTGAGCAAAGATAGCCTTGAGAAGATAGCAGTAGCCCTTGAAATCCACCAGATAATCGGATGTGGGTCTCATCGGGAACTGGAAGTGAAGCACTTAAATACCACAAACGGAGCTGTAGCACTTTACTATAACGGCAAGCAACAACCTGACTTACGTACACTTGAACTAGTTGTCCAACGTTGCATAACGACTAAGACTCACAACTGGAAAGGAAAGCCAAACCAGAACAAAAAAAGGACAGTAGTTGGCAAAGGTTCGTTGGGTTGTAATAGTTAATTATTGAGGGATGAGACAGGCGATTACGACTACAACCCGATTGTCCCTCCTGTCCTCCCCACCCTTCCTTCCCGCCCCTTCCTTCCCGCCCCTTCCTTCCCTTCCCTCCCAACAATCCCTCCCCACCACCAACCACCTCTCTGTATAAACGTCACTCTCTCTCTCTCTCTCTCTCTCTCTCTCCATTATCGTCACTCTCACTCTTCATTATCTCTCTCACTGTATTTCCCACTTTCTAAACTTCCGTTCACCTATGCCTCTCCTTCCTCTTTACTCCCCCCCCCCCCCCGCCCCCCGAAAAAAACTCCAGAACCCAACCACCCACCCACTCTAACACACACACACACACACAATACACGAGGTGACCAAAGAGCCAGAGCTCAACCCCCACAAGCACAAATAGGTGAGTACACACAGGATGATTTCTGCCTCCCTGCAGAAATTTGCTAACAAATGATTTCTGACAGATTTCTGCTAACAAATGGTTGTTGTAGTTTAACCCTAGCAAATGTAATGTAATGAAGATAGGTGTAGGGAGCAGGAGGGCAGATACAAGGTATCATTTGGGAGAAGAAATACTTCAAGAGTCAGAGGGAGAGAAAGACCTGGGGGTTGATATCACTCCAGACCTGTCCCCCTGTAGCCTATATCAAGAGGATAACATCAGCGACATATGCCAGGTTGGCCGACATAAGAACGGTCTTTAGAAACTTGTGTAAGGAATCATTCAGAACTTTGTTCTAAATGATTCATTTATTCTGTTCAGAACTTTATTCTGAATGAATGATTCAGAACAGACCAATCCTGAAGTGTGCAGCTCCAGCATGGAGTCCACATCTAGTCAAGTATAAGATTAAACTGGAAAAGGTTCATAGGTTTGCCATCAGACTAGTACCTAAACTGAGATGTATGAGCTACGAGGAGAGACTACGGGAATTAAACTTCACGTCTCTGGAAGGCAGAAGAGTTAGTAGTGGACATGATCACCACATACAAGATTCTCAAAGAAATTGAGAGGGGTAGATAGAGACAGGTTATTTAACACATGGGGCACACGCACTAGGGACACAGGTGGAAACTGAGTGCCAAAATGAGTCACAAAGATATTAAAAAGAACGTTTTTATGTCGGTAGTTGACAAATAGAATGCATTGGGCAGTAATGTGGTGGAGGCTGACCCCATACACAGTTTCAAGTGTAGATATGATAGAGCCGAGTAGGGTCAGGAACCTGTACACCTGTTGATTGACAGTTGAAAGGCGGGACCAAAGAGCCAGAGCTCAATCCCCGCAAGCAAAACTAGGTGAGTACAACTAGGTGGCAGGGTACACACACTTGCACACTCACACCCTCGCTCAGTCCCCAACCAGGTCTGTCATTGCTGGAATGTGGACGATGCTGCCAGATGCAACATTGGAGCCTGGCCCGACCCCGGCTCTTGTACCAGTCGAGATAATGTAGCCATAGGCGCACCCACCTACCCACCCACCTACACACACCCACCCACACCCACACCCACCCACACCCACTCCCACCAACACCCACTCCCACCAACACCCACACCCCAACACCCACCCACACACTCACATTGTGTTTAATAATTCTATTAACTTTCAGGAATCTGGACAAGATGGCAGCCAGGGCACTATTCACATTAATTAGAGGCCAGTAGGTATGCGGTCCTGGGATCGAACCCAAAGCAAAACGAGATTTGATTAACTTCAGAGAAAATCCAATTTCATTATCCTGTCCCATCCCAAATCCTTATCCCGACTCCTGCCATGTGCTGTTTAGTCGTAATGGCTTGGCGTTTCCCCCTGATAATTCCCTTCCCCATGGGACGAAATTCCAGAACTGGAGTATTGAAGTACGATGAAAGACCGAAGGATCTAAATCTAATTGCATAAGATGCCACGAAGATTGGGAGATGGGAACGTCACACGTAAGATCCTTAAAGTCAAAAGCAAATGACAAGTAATATGCCAACAGTCAAGAGGTAGGGGCCCAAAAGCTAAAGCTTAACTCTCTTGTTGAACTATTAGGTGGATACACAGAACGCAAAACTATTATACATCAAAATTACAATGAAGAGAGAGATGTATTTATATATAAAGATAACAAATTAACGGGAATTATGTTAAACTTTTGAAGCCTTCAAAATAGGGTCTCATTGTAATGTCGACATCGTTCTCGACTCGTATTCCAGTACCTCGGGTTCGATTCCTGGGCGGGACAGAAATGGTGGGGCACGTTTCCTTTCACCTAATGGGACTGTACACCTAGCAGTTAATATATAAGGTATAAACGGAAATTACGCAAATGTTGTGGGGCTTGCATCCTGGGGAGCGTCAGTAGTTCAGTCTTTGGGTACTTCGATACAGGCGTTATATTATATATATATATATATATATATATATATATATATATATATATATATATATATATATATATATATATATATATATATATATAAAGAAAAGTCATAAAAAACGCAGCTGTTGCAGCTAATGATATGTTGTCTGTATTCCCATCTGCAACCTGTAATGAGACGAGAGGAGAAGGCTTGCCTGCATTAATACTTGGCCAAGGCTGGAATGGCTTTCACACATTTAGTATACACATATCCAACGGCCAATTAGGAAAGGCTTGGCATAGCGACCATAATATCTCGAGCGGCTTCCCGGGCTGCGCAGGTCGGTGTGGAATCCCAAAGTATTTGAAGTTAGATGCCAGAAGATAGTGGAGCCGTGATCGCCGCCCTCTTGCTGGCGTTGTGTGTGTGTGTGTGTGTGTGTGTGTGTGTGTGTGTGTGTGTGTGTGTGTGTGTGTGTGTGTGTGTGTGTGTGTGTGTGTGTGTGTGTGTGTGTGTGGTGTGTGGTGTGTGGTGTGTGTGTATCTTAACGAGTGCATGGCTCGGTTTGCCTGGTATGCACTTGCTAGAGAGATGAATTAAGTGTTTCATAATCTCCTTATCACAGACCTCGACGGTTACACTCTTGTATCTAGTTCCTACGAGCTGGTGATAATTCTGTTTTTTTCAGAATTTTAGACACGTATATACTCAATATGTCACTGTCCAATAAAAGGCTATTCAAAGACGCTTCATACGGACCATCAGAGGTAAGTGCCAGACTCCTCCTCAAATATCACTTCTTTAATGGAAGAAGATACTAGACATTTCTTTGCAAGCCACTGTTTGCTTACAGTAACAACCCTACAGTAGACCTCTAGGTTTCTCCTTATATATTTTCATACTAATTGCTCATTTGACTAGTTACGGGTAGAAAGGTGAGCATATATCGTAGTGGTTTACACAGTCGTCGTCCTCCCAGTATTCTCCATTGGTGTTGGTTGCCATTAAAGAGCAAATTTGTTATTGACCAGTTTATGCAGCTTCTTTACTTTCGAATTACTGGTTCTTATGAATATCTTTATTTCAATCACGTTGGAATCTATGGTTGTTTTTCTATATTTTACGGTGTGTGTGTGTGTGCGCGTGTGTGTGGGGGGGGGGGGGGGGGGTGCGCGCGCGCACGCGTGTGTGCACTCACATAGTTGTGCTTGCGGGGGTTGAGCTTTGGCTTTTTGGTTCCGCCTCTCAACCGTCAATCAACTGGTGTACAGATTCTTAAGCCTACTGGGCTCTATCAAATCTACATTTGAAACCGTGTTTGGAGTCAGCCTCCACTACATCGCTGCTTAATGCATTCCATTTGTAACTACTGTGACAGAGTGAGTGAGTGTGTGTGTGTGAGTGTGTGTGTGAGTGTGTGAGTGTGAGAGTGTGTGAGAGTGTGTGAGAGTGTGTGAGAGTGTGTGAGAGTGTGTGAGTGTGTGTGAGTGTGTGAGTGTGTGAGTGTGTGTGTGTGTGTGTGTGTGTGTGTGTGTGT